GAGCCAGAACCCGCGCCTGCGCGGGCGCCCGCCGGAACTCACACCTGACCGCGAGCGCATCCCCGGTTCCCATCCACGCGTCTCCTCCCTCCATACCTCCCCGCAAGCAGAGGGAGGAGGCTCAGGCCTCAGCCAGCCCAGAAAGGGGCTCCCACGGTGCCGTGGCGGGGTGAAGGGCTCCTCAAGCCCTGCCAGAGTGGACGCGGAGGCCGGAGGCCAAGGAGGCGCTGAGAGTGAGGGCTGCTAGCACATTGTCACCTCTCAGTATGATGTTAGTGTTTTGTGAGATTGTTATGTTTTAACAGGGGAACACCACAGCCAATTCCTAACAACACTGAAGTGTCAGTTCCGTTGGTGACACCAAGGGCTATTTTTATTTTTCTCATATTTACCAAATACGAATTGCATGCATAGATGCTGAGGCAACTGGGAAGAATGAGGTAGAGAAAACATGCGTCTTAAACCTTACCTTCTGGTAGGGAGAGACAAGCAATAGACAAGTAAGTATAAAAAATGATTTTAGAGGGTGACAAGTGCTATGAAAGAAAAAATGATGAGTGGAGATAGCTGCAAATTTAAATAGGATGGTCAGGAAGGCTTTTTTGAGGACGTGACATTAGAATTCAGAATTGAATGATAAGGAAGCAGACTTGCAAAAATGATTCTGGAAAGGGAAATAGGAGTTGAAAAGGCCCTGAATGTAGAAAAAGGACCTATAAGTGAGTCTTTGAAATTACTAGCTAATTGGTCGGGCACGGTGGCTCACGCCTGTAATCCCAGCACTTTGGGAGGCCAAGGCGGGTGGGTGGATCAGCAGGTCAGGAGTTCGAGACCAGCCTGACCAACATGGTGAAACCCTGTCTCTACTAAAAATACAAAAAATTAGCCTGGCGTGATGGCGCGCGCCTGTAATCCCAGCTACGCAGCAAGCTGAGGCAGGAGAATCGCTTGCACCCGGGAGGCTGAGGTTGCAGTGAGCCGAGATTGTGCCACTGTACTTCAGCCTGGTCCACAGAGTGAGACTCTGTCTCAAAAAAAAAAAAAAAAAAAAAAAAGAAAGAAAGAAAGAAAAAGAAAAAGACATTACTAGCTAATAGGTATATTACCCTTATATCTTGTTTTCTGAATAAAAAAATTACTCTTATACCCTAATATTACCCTTATATTACCCTTACACCCTTGTTTTCTGAATAAAAAATTACTCTATCCTTATTTTCTGAATAAAAAATTATGTAGATTAGGCCTTTTTCCTTGCCTCATCTAAAGAACTAAAAATATTTTGAAATATAGCAGAGAGAAGGTGGTATAGCATAATGGATAAGTCAAATTGCCTGGTTCAAATTCCACCTCTGCAATTTTCTAGCTGTGTTACCTTGGGCAAGTTATTTCATTTCTCTGTGCTTCAATTTCCTCAATTGTAAAAAGTGAATAATAGAACCTTACCCAGAGTGTTATTGTAAGGATTTAATGAATCAATCAAACAACCAAAACAAAACCAACAATACTTAGGATAGTACTCAGTCCTTAATAAGTACTGTAACATTGGTCGTTACAAAAAAGGGAAGGAGAAACTTTAGGATGGGGCTGCTATTTATCCCCCACTATTTGATACTGTCTTCTATTTTTTTAAAAAAAAACTTTTTTTGGGGTCACAATCCCTTTTTAAATCTGTAGTAATAGAGTCCCCAAGTTTCAGCAGTGTACCTGGGTGCATGATACAAAGAATGCATTTCCACCCTCTGTTATGGCTAGGTTGGCTGTATGACCAAATTGTGACCAATGGCATATAAATGGGAGCTGTATGTGCAGCTGCTATGAAATGTCTTAAAGGAGTGGTAGGCCCTTCTTGTTCTCTTGGTTTGCAGTTTACCTGCCAGTTTGGGTGCCGGGTACAAGTCCAAGATGCCTGCAGCCCTCTTGGACCACCATATGGAATCTACAAGTTCAAGATGATCAGATGATCTAGTACAATAGAATGAGAGAGAACGATCCTGAGCCCTGACATCATGGAGCCACCATTCCAGCTCTGGACCAACTATCTATATTTGTGGTTAAAGAAATCAACTTCAATTTTGCTTAACTCTTTTACATTTGTTTCCTGAAGTGTAGTCACAGTTTGCCTGTAATTGTTTACTGACTACTATTCTAGTTTGATTCCCAAAGGCATTCCGCTTTACTTTTACATGAGTCTTCCAGGTGACAATAGAGGAGTGAGGGAGGAAAACAAGTTGGATGACAGTAGCAATGCCTCATTATCTGAAAATGCTGCTGAAGAGGTATCTGTGACTTCTAGGTACTAAGAGTCAAGGAGGCAGGACTACATTTTCCTTTATCTTATAACACTACAGTGGTACTAAGAAGGACCTGCTCTAGGAAACAAGACAACTAAGTGTGGATTTGTAAGTTCCTAAAGACTTTTCCACCTTATAATGCTGCTCTAAAGAATTATGTTCAGTTTTCAGTCTCATGTAACTATTTTAAATGCAATATTTATGTGTGTGTATCAGAATATTAAACTAATGTTTCCTAGCCAGATAATAATAGCTATACAGACATTAGTTCAACTATTTCAAAAAGATAATAGAAATTGTACACTT